AATATAAGTTAAGATATTTGAGATTTAACCACACACATGCATACATACAGATGTACAAACGCTGCCCAGAGTATTAGTTAACATTTGAAGCAACTTATCACATCCGTAACGGCAACAAGATAGGGCAACAAATCTCAGCTTCAAGGCTGGGAAAAATTTATTTAGTCTGCGGTTTTGTTTTTCTCCTTAAAGTTATGTTGGACATCGAAATATATATGGATATATATGCATGTATATAAATGCATGCATATTTTTTCTACGACGTAGTAAGTATAATTACATTCTAATTTACTTGGTCTGGTTTACTTTTAATTAAACTGTTTCTTGAAATTTCGGAAACTGTCTTGATAAGAGCTACAAACATACCACAACTAATCCACACTGAGCAAAAACAAATGAATAATTTTCAGTTGGCCCGTTAAAAATTGTATGAAACTAACCACAATTCGCCTTGTTAATTCCCATACTTGATAAAAATAAAGTACTAGAAATGTTATAAATCAATATTAATCTACGCATATTACAGAATATTTAGATACAAAAATGCCAAAGTAGGAATTGCGACAAACTTTTATGCATGAATACAATAAATCAGCATTTTTTCAAAACATTTACGTAAATCTACACTTATGCAAATCCACACTTCAGGCAAATCGAAGTTATATGAATTATTTTATTTTCTTAATTAATATTTTTAGAAGCAAAAACAATTTTTTTTAGGAATTAGAAAATTTGTGTTCAGAACTTGCTAAGCAGGCCAGCAGGTTTTCTGAGGGCAATTTTCTCGACATATCTTCCCTGTAAGCATCGTCATCGACTGCCTGTTGTATGCGTTGGACCGTTGGACAGTCGAGCGTTTACCGGGAAGATAAATTTAACAAATTACTTTACTGCGTACACTTAAACAGGGCAATTCCGGCAACTGCGTTTCAACTCACCACAGTCAATTATCAATTATCTTGAAAGCCCAAGATTTGCTAACGAGGAGCTCTTAGCGTTATGCTTTTCGTCTTTTAACCACAATTTAAAAACACAAATTAAATTAAATTAAAAAATATGTACTTTTTCTTTTAAAACAATAAAAACTCATAAAAATTAAAATCAAAAATTTAAAAAAGTTAAAGGCTCATTCCATCTCAAATCACCCAGGCCGGGGGAAAGTGAATTTAAGTTTGCGATAAAACTCACAGGGATTGTTCCTTGAACAATTTAAGGAGACACGTATTTTTTTTTGCTTTGGGTTTTGACGATGTTTTTTCTAATTGCAGATATTGATCTACTGGATCGATCTAGTGAACTAAACATCAGTAATTGTTTACTAATAATTAATTAAAAAGAGAAAATAAATCAAAAAAGTATTTAAAAAAATAAAATATTTTTTATTTTTAAAACAAAATCTAAAAGTAAGAAGCAAATTAAATTCAAAAACAGAAAAAATAAGATCTTAAAAATTACATTAAATAAAAAGGATAGTTTTAGCATTAGAATAATGAAATCTAATAATTAAAAAAATATGAATTCAACAAAAGAAAAACAAATTAAATTTTACAAAACAGAAGAAATAAAAAATAAGTTTCTAAAAATTTCATAAAATTAAAAAATGTTTTTCTTTTATGAAAATTAAAATCTAAAATGTTACAACGTTAAACTAAACAAATTTTTTAAAAAGAGAAAAAAATAAATTCCCCAAAATTAAATAGAATTAAAAAAGATTA